CTATCTCGGTGTTTTATCGCGCAACCTGAAACAGTCGAAGCAAAAGAGGGTAAACGGCTAAATCTATAATCTGTAGAAAAGGCAGTGGCAACATTAAACCTGCTGGCTAACGCTTTGACGTAAGAAAGTTTATGAAAATATGGAAGGAATACTGGCTCTGAAGGTCAAGAAGTTTTCTGAATTAACTTTTTTGGAAATATCATATACACCAACTGCCTTAAAATACGTTCCTGAGGATATCCAGCAACCTTGAAACGTTCTGCCAGACGACAAAGAGACGAGCCAATAAAATGTGAGCATCATTTGTGTACCGCTGAATTGACGAGATTCCAAATTATCCGCAGTTTGACATGTACGAAATGTGTATTCCTAGCGTCTTTTTCAGAATGTAGACGGGGGATTTTTGCCGTCATCGGTCTCAATATTTAGCTTATCGTTGCTAAGCTAGATTGCGGAAAAGGACGGACGGAGCCATAGGCTGGTCAACCACGGTTCTGTTCTTCCTTTTTCCTCCCACCTCTGAAGCACAAGCACCTGCTGCTTTGTGCTTCAGACGCGGTGACTTCCAGTTGTCATGGGAGTTGATAACTATGCCCTCAATCCTTAGAGAGACACACCACTATTACCACGCAAACTTTACTAAAAAACATCGCACTCCGCTCATTTTCCTGACACCCGTGCCACACGGGGGGTGGTGCACGAAAGCACCCGATGTCAAAAACCCCGTATCAAATGCCCCGCGGCGAACGCCCCGGCCTTATGCCCCGCTTTCAAAATGCCCCAGTTTCAAAAGCCCATGTTGCTAATGCCCCGTGTCAGGTGGCCGGGTCCTCAGCGCGAGGGCAGAGTATTCTCCTTTTAACTAAGCGACAGTAAGTGCGCACCCGAGCTGTGTCATGCCGTACCCGGAACTCAAATAAGGAATAAATGGATAAAGCTTGCCCTTCATCCGTTTGCACGCTCTACATATTCACATCCTGTGGCGACGGTTCTGTCGAAACTGTTCACCCGCCAGATCATGGCGCGTTACTTATTACATATGCAGCCCCAAACACCATTTCTATTCTTACGTCGTTCTAAATATATTTGCATTTATCTAGGTAGATGAAGTATATAATTCTACGTCTGAGTATACCTCTATGACAGCAGGGTGTTTGGCTGGTTATGCAGATTTATGCAATTAGCCACTTGTAGGACGTCATTTTATGTTTTTCTGCGGTTCAAGTTTCTTTCACTTAAAAGAGCCTTTGTACAACTTCAGCGAATTTATAGACATTGAACAATGCTGGTTGAAGCGCGAAGAGGATGGGACGGGGGCAGTGAGGTCGGGGCTTTTGGCACGGGGGGAATACGGAACGGGGGGGTAATTGAAGACAGGGTTTTTGAAACGTGGGGCTAATGACGCGGGGCTTTTGCGAGGGAGATTCTGCACGCGGGGCAATCGTGCTACCCCCCACACGGGCAACTCGAATGCTGTTAACAACGAATGGCATTTGAACGATGGGCCAGTCAGCGTGCGACGCTCCGGGCGTGGCGCATTCCATGCGCGACAGATCGCAAGCCGATTCGTCGATCACACCAATGTCATTCGTTGTAAATGTTATTCGAGTTGTCCGTGTGGCACGTGTATTAGAGAGCGCGGCTACATCTTCGATCCTCCCTATAGGCGCGAAGAGCCCACTTCTGAGGGAATGCTTGCGCATCGCGCTGTGGTCTACGCTGTCTCGCTTTCATGCTGCGCCGATGGAGAGGGCTAGCCTCCGACGCGCAGATATTCCGTATTCAACAAAACAGCAGAAACTGTCGTCTCCACTGCCTCGCAGATTCACCACGACGGTAGACGGCGTCAGCCACTGCCTCGCAGATTCACCACGACGGTAGACGGCGTCAGCCACCCCTCTAAATTTAGAGGGGAAAGAACCCTGCTCTGTGTCCAGCCGTTCTACCTACGCAAAAGTGGTCGGCTCCAACCCCATTGGATTTGGATGGAGTAAAATGTATTTCCCTGTAGAGCGTTCGATTATCCTCGCAACTCATTCACCGTTATGCACCCTTTCCAGGCGACGCCATTCCAAGTCCAAACGCAGACCACGCTATGAGCCGATGGAGCCAATCAAACCACGCCAGAACTGCATCGTCACGGTGCTCGCAAGTTTTATACGTGCCTTTTCACTGGCTGAACCATTCAGGTTTCGAAAAAAAGGGCATGATCACGGCGATCGACTCTATCGAACCGTAGTTTCGACTGAGTTTACTCTTGCTGCCTCTGACAAAACGATATTAAACATGCGTGCGTTCGGAGTAAGCCGAGATTACAGGCTCATAGTGACTCCGATTCATACATCCGGCATAAAGGTTTATTTAACATAGCTCCCCTTGTAATCAGCCATTCAGTTCACGCTCTTAGCTCCCGCAAGAAACTTGCCGCAAGCGGAAGATGGCGAACAGATTTGTCGCCGACCGTTAAAAGTCCCTCGGTTTAAAGGTCGACGACCAGATATGAGATTCTGCAAGGAAGAATATCCTCCTTACCCTGGGGGAGGAAGAAACAGGCAGCGATGGACAGGGTAGAAGGGGGGGAGAGGGGGAAGCGGGGAAAGAGTGGAAAGCGCGAACTGGTCGTCGGTCTTTAAGGGACGTCTATGACAATGCAAATGGGATATAGGCATCTTTCAGACAGGGGCAATGTCTTCTGAAATGTCGGGGCTGCCGACGAGGCTCTAACTAGACACTGGTGCTGCGACACGAATTGCTGGGATCGAACCGGATCAAAACAACAAATGATCGCCTCGGACGCCGTTTTAGGCGGTAAAAATAAATGAGGGACTCGTTGTATTCGCAATAGTGGTGATGGTTATAACTGAACTAAGAGTTGGACTTTGTTGTGGTTTGTAACAGTTTGTTTTCATAAACTTCTAGCTTCCCTCGGGGTTTTATATATTATCGACAAAAAATGAATATAAAAGGGAGTTGCCTATAGGAAAGATTGTGTCCGAATTCGCGAAAAACCTACGCGTTAATTATGAGGTAAAAGACGCACACCGCATTGGCTGTTTGATTGGGATGTACAAAACGTGCGTTGCATCTATCAGGATATTAAGACTTCAAGAAATGTTCTTTCGTTGAAAGCGGGCCTAATAAAGTAATCTTACACTCTGTTTAGATTTTCTAACCTGATAGAAAGTTAAAGGGGGCTTTTTTCGACTTATCCACACAGCAAGGTGTCATTGCCGATTGTGCGGGCATATGCTTGTTACTCCGACCATTCTTTCGGTCGCTGGGGTGCTTGTACACAACAAAATTTGCATACTCGCTAACCCTAAATTGTTATTTTCTAGATTTATTTTAAATAAAACCTAGCATCATCTTACGTGGAGGCCGAATATGTTAGCGCACCACAGCTTGGAGCATGGGGAGCAAAAGCTAGCGCTGCAAGACCCACTTATACTGGGTTAAATCCCCACCCACGCCACTTCCGGTCTGGTTATGTGTCCGACCGGCGTGCGTTCGCGACTCACTGCTGCGTGATGCACGTTTCAAAGACCTCAGTCAAGCAGTGGGATTGCACTAGCTAAACGTATTATCTATGGCCTACCACGATCACTGTACCGCGGTAGACGAAATTTCGTCGTCTAAGCATGGGAGGTCTTACGTGCTTTCGCTTCATATTTTGGAACCCCCACAGCTCAAGCCTACCACTCGAGGCGCGTCTGTTCCATCTCCCGTTTTCTATCCTGCTAGAATAGCAGCATGTGTACATAGGGGGGCCATTTCCTCTGCCGATCTCTCAGAGGTATCGCAAAGACAGGAAAGAGAAAAGAAGAAAGTGGACAGATTCGTTTCCAATCCGCCAACCACGATCGCGTCAGCCGTCGTGTCAAACTCGCCGGCAGCGGTTGTCAAAGCGCAGCACCGCGACCCTCGCCAGCAGAATCGTCGTCCACGAGTGAGTCTGGCTATGGTCCTTCCCTCGGGGCCGGGCTTGATGTAAGACCGCAGCTCCGGAGTGCGGCAATAATTCAGGGAGCGCTTCTCGGGCACTTCTTCCTTTGCCTCCTCCCCTCGTCATTTCCGCTTCCGTTGTTCCGTTCCCGAGCACACCAGGCGTTCTTCGCAGACCAGGTCCGGAATGGAGTATGGCATCTTGGAGCGACGCTTCCGTGCATCGGCCGAAACGTCGGATCAAACAGAAAACTTGGTCCACCCACCCTGCAGTTCACGTGCCATGCCCGTTAGACATCCATAACGCTCCCCTCAACTTCCCGGAACCCCCCTTCCGCACTGGGTATACGCGTCCGTGGTGGCCGCGCTCCTTCCGTCGTCTGCGGCCTCTGCAGTGTTTCGTTGGTGGCAGTTTCGTTTTGGGAAAGCTTCTTTTACTTTCTACAAGCTTTCTTTCCTTTTTTTTTTTTTTCTTCAGTGATTGGGTGCGCTGCTGAAGGGTCATTTCTTTACCGGGCTCTTTTGTCGGCTAGCGGCTGCGGGCGCCGCTGCTGCGTCTGCTGCCGCTTCTCTCGCCAATAGCGAGTTATAGTAGACCGTTTTCATTTTCCCCTCCGCTCTGAGCGCGTCAAACTGCGCATGCGCGGCCCGCTATGCATGGGTGCAGAGCGGAGCTTCCAAAACGAGTTTTAGTAGACCGTTTTCCGCTCACCACATAGCGCAGCTAGAGCGTACGGAACGGCGGCGTACGCAGCCCCGAAAGCGGACATTTGTGGTACTAGTTAGACGAAACATTTCAATCCAAACACTCTAGTTTATCCTTTTTGTATGCAAAGCTGTCCTTTTACAAATAAACGTGCACTTATTGTAATCAGCAATTATATTTAGAAAAAAAGTGAGTTAGAAAACCTAAGATAGCTGGCCAAGTGTGATGCTTTCGTAGGCAAGGCAAGCCGAAGCTGATCGCCGCTGCTACGCTTGCTGTCTTCTGTTGGTCCCCCTCCGCGTCGCCGCCTTTCCCGCCTTTCCTCAAGATGAAGCGGCGAAGTACGTTGCAGAGACGACTCCTACTGTCTCACTTAAAATGGCGAGAAATAGAAGATTTAATTTGTTTAAGAAACGCGAAGAAGCGCCGCGATTTTCGCTCTAGGCACGGGCTGCTTGACATTCCCCACATGAGGGACGAAGATTTCCGAAGACAGTTCCGCTTCGAAAAAGCCGACCTGGGTGCCCTCCTGTCGTCGTTGGAGGTGCCCGAATCTTTCACATCGGCGCAAGGTGTTGTTGTGCCGGGTGCTGAAGCACTGTGCATCATGCTGCGGCGTCTCGCCTACCCCAACCGGCTCTTCGACCTCGAGAGGGTGTTTGGTCGCCACTCATCAACCATCTCCAGTATTGCAAACCTGGTCATGAGCCACGTCCTTGAGAAGTTTGGCCACTTGCTGTCCGATATGAATAACCACAGCTGGCTGTCGCTGGCGAATCTGGAGCTCTTCTCACAGGTAAGACCCTGCGCCTGCGCCTTTCGTGTAAATTTCGCATTGCCACGGTCCGTTGCACTGTTTGATGTCACGGAACCGTTTTCTAGGCCATTACAATTTACATCGTTTTTGTTTGGCCTTGACTAGCCAGATGCGAACTACCTATAGGCATGTTGAAGAAGACGGAGGACCAGAAATGAGAAGTACGCAAACACAGCGCTGAAGCTGTCTTGTCGCTGTGGTTTTGTTTTCCTACCATGTTAGCTTACATATGCTTGTACTCTCTGACTGCACGTAACGTAAGTGTTCATCAATGCTAGCTACGCAATATTTCCACTAGGGTGCTGTAAATGCTTGGCCAATGAAAGTGCCCGTGAGGTCATTCTTCAGATTCCATCTAAGATTTGTAAACGTAGTCGTGTGGTACTACCACACTTCTCTGCATTCAGTCAGTCAGAGTTTTGAGAGTAAGGAAATCAAAGGAAGTGCTGCTGAGCCCTTCTCTGCATTTATTTGTGACCTCTCTATGGACCTGTGCAGGGTTGTAAAAGTTACTTCAAAAATGTACCTAAGATACAGTTGCATTTACTCATATGAAAAGGTACCTAGGTATTCACTTAAAAAAAGTATCTGGGTACAGGTACAGTTACTTCAAAGATATTTGCTTTATTTATTTTCCCCAAATTTGTCAGAATATTTCCGCACGTGCAGCTGACCAAGCAGACAGCTCGCTCATGGCCTAACGGTTATCGCGCTTGCCATCCACGCAAAGACAAGCTTTGATGCCTGCCCGCGGGTACACATTTTTGTTGACTCTGTAATGTGATGTTCTGGTAAATTCGAGAACCGTGTTGCTGATTCGAGGTTAGAATGTTCTATGCGCCGAACCTTCTACGTCATTGTTCCAGGCCCACGCATGTACAAAAGGGGCTCTGCGTGGCAAGCTGCAGTCGGTCTGACGCTAGCGCCAGATTCTGCCTCTTTGCCAACATCGTCTCTCGCTTACGACACCTGTTCGTTTACCCCTTTGTTTTAGTCACCACCCGTGACATTCCGGTGGAAGTACGGGGTAGTGCCTTATGTCTCTTCACCGCACCCCTCCGAGGACCCGTTTGGCAAGCCCCACTTCAAGGCGACAGTAAAGTTCTTGTTGTGGTGGGGAGAGACGTCAGCTGTCGAAGATCCTCTCCCCGATCGCGGCTGGTAACTTCGATGGCGAGGCAGTGGCAGCGACGACGATTTGATGCTTTTTAACTATACATTTATTAACAAAGAACAAAGGGCCTGCGGACGACACACGTCCGCGACCGACTCCGGGACCTCTCCCGCTCCAACTCCCCAGACCCCGCTCCTCCGGGGGTCCGCCTACGTCCCCCAAGGGGACACATTCCTTCCGCGCGGCGGCGCCGCGCGCGCTCGCGGAGGGGCCATTTGCTCGCTCTCGCGCACCGCCAGCACCCCTTCCCCTCGAAGAGGTGACACTCTCGGCAATGCTGGCAAGCGGTGGAAGACAAAACAATACTAATTAAGGAAAACATACGCTCTGATCCTTACAGCGACCATTTGTAGAAGAGACAGGGCCCCGGGCAAGCCAGCGTCTCCGAGGACAACCCCCTGAGCTTGGACCACTGCCGGACAAGACGCAGAAGCTACCGAAGCTCACGATGAACTCCACAACCCAGCAGACGGAAAACCCCCAAGCAGGCTTCGAGTAGCAAAGCTGTGTCGTCTACCTCGACGACGTCATGGTATTCGCAAGCGACTTTGACGTGCACCTGAGACGTCTGCGAGCCATGCTACAGGCTCTCCAGAATGCTGGACCGACACTAAAGCCGTCCGCTTACAACAAGCTCATATTTCTCGGCCATGTCGTGAGTGCTCAAGGTGTAAGCCCTGACCCTGCAAAAACAACCGCTATTGCTGAATTTGCGAAGCTATCAGACAAGAAAGCCGTCTAAAGATTTCTTGGGCTGTGCGCTTACTACAGACGTTTGGGTCGCGATTTTGCCAAGATTTCTGCACTGCTCACGCATCTGACACAGGACAATGGGAACTTCCAGTGGGGGGGAGGAGCAAGAACAAGTGTTCAATGAACTGAAGGAAAGACTCCAGTCGGCCCCTATTCTCGCACACTTCGATTTATCAGTGGAAACGGAAGTTCACACGGACGCCAGCAACACCGGACTCGGCGTGGTACTTGTCCAAAGACAAGACGGAGCAGAGAGGGTGATCGCTTATGCAAGCCAAGTACTGCTCAAGGCAGAGCAGAATTATTCAACGACCAACAAGGAATGTCTTGCTGTCGTTTTGGCGTTAACCAAGTGCCGCCTATACCTGCACGGGATCCCATTCTGCGTTGTCATGGACCACCGCGCTCTCTGTTGGCTCGCCAACCTCAAGGACCCGTCGGGACGCCTCGCTCGGTGGAGTCATCGACTGCAGGACTTCGACGTAACCATTGAGCATGAGTCTGGCCGCAAGCATAATGACACCGACTGTTTGTCTAGGGCCCCGGTCTAATCTCCTCCCGACAGCACCGACGACGAAGATGACGCCCATTTTCTTGGCATAGTTACAGATAGTGACACTTCAACGAGACGAACCGGAACTTCGCGCCGTGATCGACTGCCTTGAAGGTCATGGGAGTTCAGTTCCGCAAGTCTTGGCCCGAGACATGTCAAGCTTCGTTCTGCGGCGAGGTGTGCTCTTCAAGAAGAATTTTGGAACCAGCAACCTTTCCTGGCTGCTGGCTGTTCCTGCCAGCCTGCGAGAAGGAATCTTTCAAGCATGCCATGACGACCCGACGGCTGGACATCATGGCTACAGCAGTACGCTCGTCCACATTTGTGACAACTACTACGGCCGAGACTCCCGAAAAGCGTCCATTTGTACACACGGTTGTGCCATGAGTGCCAACAACGTAACAAGCCCCCGACGAAGCCAGCAGGACTCCTGCAGCCGATATCTGCCCCAACTACGCCCTCCCAGCGGGTCGGAATGGATTTACTTGGGCCAATTCCAACATCGACGCAAGGTAACTGGTGGATTATCGTAGCGACCAATTATCTTGCACGATACGCCGAGACAAAAGCCCTTGTGTCAAGAACAGCAGTGGAAGGCGCCAAATTTTTCGTCGAGTCCATTCTCCTTCGACACTGCGTACCTGATGTGCTGATCACAGGTCGAGGGTCATCTTTCCTGGCACAGCTGACTCAAGAGGTTCTTCGGCTGAGTCACACCAGCCATCGACAAAACATATGTCATTGTCCTTTCCTTGTAGATACCATCTCATAATCATCATCACTAGACGTGGCACCGCGGGCCTCCATGGTACGGGCTGTCGCCTTTCTCCGGTGCCACGGCTCTCCTGAGCCAATAAAAATTACTACTATTACTACCGCTTATCATCCGGAGACCAATAGGCTAAGGGAGCGGCTCAACAAGACGATCGTTGACATGATCTCCATGTACGTTGATGTAGAGCAAAGACGTGGGACGAGGTGTTGCCGTACGTTACATTTGCGTACAACACAGCGGTTCATAACGAAATAAGTTTACGTTGGCTTAACACAACAACAAAAAATAAAACAACACAGACGTTTCGCCACCTACCCGGGTGGCATCATCGGTATGAACTGGCCCGGTGGTTGGGAGAGTCAAACCAGTCGACTCTAATCTAACAAGTTCCCGTAAACGTCCGGTAGGGGGCCCCGGTTTATGTTGCACGCCTTGGGGTCACGGCGGATAAACCACGATTCCACAACTTCCTCGGGCCCCAACGCTGCTCACAAGCCAAGGTCGCCACATTATCCAAGTCAAACATATGCCCAGTCGTCCTGCTGTGGTCGACGAGCTCAGACTTATTTCTCGTGGCATGCGTGGCCTTCACCACATCCCTTTTGTGCTCCTTAAGCCGAGTGCTCCTCCGTCTGCCGGTTTCTCCAATGTACATGGCGTCGCAGTCGACACAGTTCACCTTGTACACCACACCCGTCTAGGCATTGGCGGGGGTAATGTCTTTCGGCTTAGAAAACGCGTTCGCTAAAGTGTACGCAGGCTTGAACACAGTCGGGATGCCCAAAGGTGTCAAAGCTCTTCTAATCGAGTCCGAGGTTCCCCGGACATAGGGAATACACACTATCGGCTTCCTTTTGCCTCCACTGCTACTCTGCACAGTTGCAGGCACTTACGCGTGTCACTTATGAAGGATCCTGGATAATTGCGCCTGCTCAAGGAAGTGGAGATCCTTGTCAGTTCTTGGGACCAAAGGTCGTTGTTCGAAGACAACACATCGTAACGCGACAACAGTGTCCGTGCCACGGCGCGCTTGTGTTTTGACGGGTGATGGGAATCAAAACGCAAAACATTTCCGCTGTCACACGGTTTACGGTACACTTCAGTTCATACTGATGATGTCACCTGGATAGGTGGCGAAACGTCTGTGTTGTTGTTATATTTTTTGTTGTTGTGTTAAGGCACTGCAAACTTATTTCATTATAACTACCCCTGGCTTTTGGAACATATTTGCACAGCGGTTCAAGAAACCACAGGAATGACGCCATTCGAACTGGCACACGGCCGGACAGTTACCACGATGCTCGACGCCATGCTGCCTCACGTGCCAACAGACGATGGCAACGACGAAGCTCAAGTGATCTCTCAACGCACGGAGGAAGCTCGTCAACTGGCAAGAATCAAGATTCAGGAGCAACAGTGAGTCGATGCACGCCGTTACAACCTTTGTCGCCGGGACGTCCACTTTCAACCCGGATACCGGGTATGGGTGTGGACACCTATACAGCACCGCAGTCTCAGCAAGAAGCCTCTGAAACGCTATTTCGGACCCTACAAGATCATCCAATGCCTCGACGATCCGAAATACGAAGTTCTTCCCGACGGAATGTGCCCATCTGCAAGACGCCAGCCACGACCCGAGGTGTTGCTCGTCGTCCGGCTCAAGCCGTATTACGAATGATAGAACTTTGTAACCCCGCCAAAGAGTGACTGTGGCTCACGATTCTGCTGTCCTTTTGTTGTGGATTTGTGTTTTCGTTTTGTGCTGCATCGGGACGATGTGCTTTTCTAAAAGGGGAAGTAGTGCCGCGCGCGCAGCTGACCAAGTAGCCAGCGCGCTCGTGGCCTTACGGTTATCGCGCTTGCCTTCCACGCAAAAAGCCAAGGTTTGATGCCTGGCTGCAGGTACACATTTTTGTTGACTCTAATGTGATTTTCTGGTAAATTCGAGAACCATGTTGCTGATTCGAGGTTAGAATGTTCTACTTCCAGAAACCCATGCGTGTACAAAAGGGGCTCCTCGTGGCAAGCTGCAGTCAGACTTACGTTAGCGCCGGATTCCGCCCCTTCGCTGACATCGTTGCTCACTTACGACACCTCTTCTTTTACCCTTTTGTTGGGGGCACAAGTTCGCCCCATTAAACGTTTCTCCATCCTGTTTATTTTTAGGTTCTTTTGGTCTCCACCCGTGAGAATATATTGGAAGTAAAGCTTTTTATACTAAGGATATATACAAAAAGGATTTCAATAAATGTGCTTTATTGGTGTCAATGCGAGAAAGAAGGAAAACTGAGAAATTAAAGTAACTAGGTTTGTACTTCAGGTACAACAGAAATACCTAGGTACCGATTTCCAGTTATTTGTATCTAGGTACTTTACAACCCTGGACCTGTGTCATTATGTAGAAAGTAGCAAGCATTAACAACACAGTTAAATTTTTTTAAACAGTGCATAAACACATTATTTCTTTATGGGTAATGTGTCGCACGTCTTCACAGTTTTTGGTGGTGTTTAAATGCTCCAATGTACATAACAGTAATATATGTTGTCTTTATTAGGCAGTCCATGAGAAAGGAGCCCCTTTGGACAACTGTTGGGGCTTTCTGGACGGCACGGCACGCCCCATATGCCGTCCATCAGAAGACCAAAGGAAGTATTTTTCTGGACACAAGCGGGTGCACGTCCTGAAATACCAGGCCTTGATGTGTGCTAATGGCATGATATGCCAATTGGATGGACCTTTTGAAGGCAACAGGCATGACGCAGGTAAATTTGGCATTGTTAAATCTTTTTTTTTTTTTTGTTTAGGTTACTATTGGAATGTTTCAACTTGTAACCAGATCCAAGTCTTTCCCAAAGCACTTTAAGATAAAATTCAGAACAAAGTTGACTTGTACATTGAGGAGTTTGAGGGTCAGTGAGTATAAATTGATACCAGTACAGTATAATTACACTCTAGAGGTTTCGGTTTTTTCATTTTTTCCGATTCGGCTTATTTTTTCGACATCTACTCGAAAACAAAAATTAGTAGCTATTACTAATTTAATGGGCATAAAGCAAACTGATAAGGGGGAATGGAAAACCATTTCACATTTATTTGTCAAATATGTACGCCACAAAGTTTGTAATTAGGTTGTGGTATGCACATCTAAGTGCAAACTAAATCCACATTCTTCCTTTTTGGTACCGCCTTTTCTAGGTATATTAACATTACATTCTCCACATCACTTTTTCTTTGGGGTGTGGCCCTGGCATCCCTATCCTGTAAAAAAAAGAAAAAAAAGATGCAAATTTGCAACTCTAAACTAGAAATGCTGACTGAAACGTTAGTGACCTCAAAACATATAAAAAAAAAATCAAAATGATATGCAATTCCTTTAACTTCTGCAGCACTCAATGCTTTCAGAAAGCAGCTTATTTGGTTCTTTCTTTAGAAACGTCTTTTGGTACCTTTCTTTCATCTGAAACAAACATTTTTCAGTTGATAAAAGCACCGGTGCGGGGTACAGATCGAAAGCAGCTGCTGCTGCAGCATTTGGCTGCGACTCGTATTCTCTTCAAATGAACGTGAATCCCAGCTGGAATCTGATGTAGCACTTATGTCTAATCTGTGCCCTGCACCGACTCCAGATTGTGTTGTATGGCAAGAGCATGTACAGGAGGCAAGGGAAAAGCCTGGGAAAGAACGGGGAGACACCAAGTAAGAGGATCAATGCTGGGGTGTGCGACCGCAAGAGATGTAAACTTCTTTATCCACTCTCGCTCCAGTGCTACCTTTGGCACGGCAGGGCGTCGTCTTGGCACAATTAATATAATATGTCAGGTACTTTTTGAATGTCTTGACAATGTCAGTGGTCTGGAACTAACAATGAAGAGATATCTAATCGCCTCCGTGTCGCTGCACCATCTTGTCCGGCGAGACAGCTATATAAAGGACGCTACGAGAATAAATGGAGGTAGCTTCCACTCGAGAGAGACGTGTGTGTCGAAAGTTCTTACTGCTATGCCCCTACCACGACACGGTGACAAACGGCAGTTGAAGTTTTGCCACCTCGCATACAAAGGTTTCACATGAGACTCATGCGGTATCGGTGCAAGGTCGTGTTTGTTCTGGGCAAACTAATTGCCATGGCAGACGCCTTCTCCCATGCCCCGCTGATAGAGAAAAGCATAAGCAATATCCTGTCAGTAGCGGAAGTCTTATCCGAAAAGTGCAGTGCACAATCACTGACTGCTCTTTTTAGAGAAGAAATTTAAATTTATTGCATCAGCACTTCAAGAACCAGCATATACGTTACATGTTCTTCGAATAAACTTCAGTTCTTAGCAGCACCTTGTTTGTCTACTTCCATCGTCCTTGTGCTTCGCATTTTAGATTAAAAGTATGTACAAACTAGCCAACATACCCATTCTACTGTGGCCGAGGCCGCCGTGCAACGATTTCCGGACTCCGGTCAAACATTTGTAGAAGTTGCCCTCTGACACTTGTGAAGTAAAGAACAGAAAACCGATTTCGCCTGTGTGTCCTAGTTGTGTAAAAAAAAAAGATAAATATTGGCATTTTTGGCACCCCTCAACTCACTCCATCTTCAGGGTCCCACCTGGTGACGTAATTAGGGGTGCCGTGTAGCTTCCGGAGTATTCTCTTGGAGGACGCCTACTCTCCCTCTCTTTGGTGACATTAGCAGGTGTTATGCTACAGCTTAGAGCCGAGCGAGGTCACGCAATCTTTTCACTGTAGTTCCCTTGGCTGCCACGCACGGCTGCAGGTGGGGGGAAAAGCTAGATTTTTGCTTTGCGATTATGCATCGCAACATTTTTTTAAATGAAGGAGATGGTTTTTTTTATCCTCTGGGACACGATAAACAATGTAAAAATGATGAGATTCAAATTATTTTAATCTTAAAATCGTTGCACCCACTTGCCAGGACCAACTAGACGACAACATGTGCGTGGATGTGTTGCACGAAAGTTTGATATTTATTTTTTTTTGCAGGTATGCTGCACGTCAGCGGTCTTTACGAGAAGATGGAGGCACTCTGCCAAGACCAGTCGTACGTCATTTATGGTGACCCTGCATACCCCCTCAGACGTCACCTCCTCAAGCCGTATGGAGGGGCCACGCTCCAGCAGCCACAAGTTGATTTTAATAAGGCTATGAGCTCTGTGCGTCAAGCTGTCGAGTGGGGCTTCGGTAAAGTGGTCACAGAGTTTGCTTTTGTAGACTTCAAAAAAAATCAAAAAATGCTTCTGCAGCGGGTGCCGCAGATGTATAAAGTTGCAACCCTCCTCGCCAACTGCCATACATGCTTGTATGGCAGTCAGGTCACGTCATATTTTCATGTTGACGCACCTTCACTGGAGGAATACCTGCAGCCTAGAGGGAGAATGTAATATATCTTGGCAGTTAAGTTATAAACAGGTCTTCAAACTTTAATGTCATTATTGTCATCCAATGCTGCCCGTTTAATTGCTTCGAAGGTACCAGGTTAAAGTTGTACTGTACTAACATAGCACCGGTCGGAGAAGCGGTTTATGGTTGGTTAACTTTCCGCTGCATGTACCTTCATACAACAGATAAAACTTTCCAGATATTTGCACTTTTCACATTCCTGCTTCCTGTACTTCGTGCTGCCTGAACCTTCATATAACTGACACAACTTTTTCACTTTTCACAATCCTGCTTCTTGTAGATAGGAAGCAGGATTGTGGAATGTGCAAGTCTAGGAAGCAGAATTGTAAAAATTTCTGAAGAGTTTTATCTGTTGTGTGAAGGTTCAGGCAGTGGGAAGTTAACCCACCATAAACTGCTTCTCCGAACGGAGCCATGCTAGTAGAGTACAGCTACATGCATCTTCGATGTATGTAGCTAAACAGGTAGCTTCTGATGTCAATAATGGCAATAAAATTTTGAAGACTTTTTTATAACATCTGTAGAAAGAAAAAGTGCTAAACTCTGGTTGGAGTGGTCAGTCGTTTATGAAGTTCTACCTGTGTTTGCAGTCTGTATGCTATGAAATGTGATGATCGTGGAAAGGATATTCGGTTTTTCTTATTTACTGAAAAGCATGTCATTATTTAACATCTTGGTCATGCTGCATGTAGGCTGGGCGTGAGCCTGCAGCATCACTGTCGGTATACTATTTCTGTGTTGGTGCAATATATAAATAACACTCGTTAAATAAAGACTGGTAGCGCAATGATTTCAACCAATAAGCACTATAAAAAAATAACTATAGCCTTGGTTGTTCCCATTTGTCCAATGTGTGATATTGCAGGCACTGGTGATAAGTTATAACTAGGGTTCGGAGTTTTCGGTTTAAACCGATAAAAGTATGCCGCATCCATTGTCGGAAATTCGGTTTTAACCAAAAAAGCTCAGTTTTTAGGTTCGGCATTTTCAATTTAAACCAATAAAAGTTTGTCGAGTCCATTTTTTAAAATTCAGTTTTAACCGGAAAAGGTCACTTTGACCTTCCAGTCGTACAGCTGAGCTGTGGCGAAAAAGTGGAACGACAGTGTCTATTGAAACATGTCCGAATGTATGGAACACACAGATGCCATCACTACGTTTTGGTTTAATCTGTGCATCATCGATTGGAAAGTGAAATCTGAAACGCCCCACGACTTCGCCATGTACGAGCGTGTTTTCAAGCCCGTTGTAAGGAAGACGGACTTGATGCAAGCTCTGCATGTTGTGTTGAGCTTTAAAACATCGCACCATGTCTCTTTCGGCGGTCACAATTGGCTGATTGGCCGATGTTGGCTCAGGCAGCGCCTCATTTCCTCAGCCTGTCAGTGTCCAGTGTTAGGGTTGAGAGGCAATTCTCGAAGCCCAGGGCCATATTAACAGGAAAGAAAGAATGCGGATCAAGGAGGAGAACCTGGGCAAGTACAGTTCGCTGCAATATGAAGGACCCACTGGAAGCGCGTGGCCGAAGCGGTGGCTGGCGTAGGCGCTGCAAGCGCTCTGGGCAATTCCATTCTGCATCGAAAGGAGGACGCTCACTCGGGGCTCAGCACAAACTGATAAGCGCGTTGCGCTTTAGCTGAGCCCCGAGTAAAGTCCTCCCCTCGAAACAGAATGGAATTGTCCGAAGCGCTCGCAGCGCCCCCGCCAGCCACCGCCTCGGACACACGCTCCCAGTGGGTCTTTCATATTGCAGCGCACTGTACATGTGTGTGTACTGTAATGAAATCACGTAATCCTGATGAACAGAAGGTGAAGTTCTATCTTTATTGCGCATAGGCTTCATATCTGACTTGTTTGTACTTCTAGGTTTTTTTCTTGTTTCTTTTAGTTTCACAGATTTGCCAAATGAAGTGTCATTTCTTTTTCAATGTATCTGTGCCGTTACTCTGAGTGATCACAAATATCAGAGCTACGTACAAGGATCATCTGATCCGGTGTCCGTTAGTGTTTATTTTATATTCACCGAAAAAAGCCGATAAACTTTTGTGGACATAAATATATGCCTAAAAGAAACGAAAATTGTATTTGAAAATAAACACCGAAAAAGGTATGCCGAATTTTGAAAAAATAGAAACCGAAAACGCTGAACCCTAGTGATAACCAGTTATGTATTTAGAAAATGTGATCTTACTTAGTCATACATACTGAGGATGCTATCTTGTAGTAGCTGTTTGTTTTCTCACAGCTGTGATAAAAAGGAGTGAATTATATATATTTCAGTGTAGTTCAGTGTGATGGTGAGTGCAAAGGAGTGAATTAAATATATATTGCAGTGTAGTTCAGTGTGATGGCGAGTGCAATAATAAAGTGATCTTGTATAATTTTTTTTTTGTCAATGAGTACAATGTCGTGTTAAGGCACATATTTATGTTTAGCGTACTGTGTTCCAATTCAGGCTTCATTTTTAGCAGCCTGTAATACTTTAAATCTCCAACTTTACTTCTGAATTTGTCTAGTCAGGAGCTGAATTTGCAGCTCCTGCTGAGCAATCAGCAACCGCCTTTCTTCTGTTGCTGCCCTCCTTTCCTCCATCTGAATCTTTCGCTCTTCTGCCTGGAACTGCCGCTCCTCGGCCTGTGCCCGTTTTTCTTCCGCCAGAGCCTGCCGTGCTTCAGCGCGGTCTTTTGCATCTTCTTGGTACTTGAGTTGCTCCAACGACATTTGCATCTCTCTCAGCGCCATGTCCCTTTCTTCAAGGGCGAAACGCCTATCTTCTCTTGCGAGCTCCTGCTCTGACCGGCGCTCAAGAAAGTCCATCTCGGACGATTGCTGCCTTCTTTTTCCTGTGTTAAAAAATACTGTGTCAACAATATTATACAGGGGTATATTCTACTGTGTAGTTGTCACTGCTTTGCGATGCCACCAGAAATGCCATTTCTAAGCTGGAGGTAGAAAGCCTGGCTTTGTATCTTCAGTTTTTTATTGCTATTGCTAGTTTAACAAGCAATATGGGAAGGTATGCTAGCCAATGACATGTATAAGTGGCTTTTTGGTCCCTTTCATGATACTAAAGCTACTGGTGACATTACGCACTGTAGTTTGAACTCTGTTTCCTCACTTACGCCTGGCACCTGAAGATCTGGACGCCGGTGTAGGTGGCACGTTCTCATCAGTACCTGCACCATTTGGGGCATTATCAGGGCTCCTGACAGGCTGGGAAGGAGCTACGAAGTCCTCTTCTTCCTCTCTCTCTGGATTTTCCATGTAAGCCTGCATGAGGAGGTTCAGTGCTGGCGAACCCTCCTCACCAAGATCTGGGGATGCTAGAAAGAAAACAGTAAAATGAAATAAATCTGTAGCATTTCTGCTTCATATTTTATATAGCCGGCCAAGTAAGGCTGCCTCTCGGCCACTCAGGAGAGGTGTTGTAAGGCGAGGGCTTAAAATATATTTGAGTATCTCGGCTGTATAGGCTGGTAAATAACTGAAGAAGGAGCGAGCAAGAGTGAAGTGGGAGCTCAAGCATTTTGCTGGGACTGCCTCTCCCCCCTCCCCATCATACAGCATTTTGTCATGGGCAGGCGCCCCCCCCCCCCCCCCCCCTCGAAATAAAATCTTGGCTACGTGCCTGTTGTGTCGTCCTCATCCAAATGGCTTCCCAGAAACCTCAGTGTGACCATTAATAGTTTGCTAAGAGGCTTTGCTTCTTCACCACCTTTTCAGGAAACGTTGGCTGCCATCCAGAAGCTTCTAGGAGAAGTACTTTCTTAACCCCATTTGTGTTATGTTTGCACCTGCTTCATTCTGCTAAAGTTCACTCTCTGAAATGCGCTACTAAGTAAAGACAGGAATGAGTTGCAATCAACTTTCATTTCCTGCTAGAATAAGGTGTGTTATTACCATACTGTTCTGGTTCTTCATCTGCATCGACCGTCAACATTGACGGCACTGGCAAGGGGGCGGTGCGGGCCACGGCTGCATCCCTTGCTGCCTTCGCTGCTCGCACCTGGGCAGCAGCTGAAGATTGTGGCCTGCGCTTGCAGGCGGCTGCTCCTGAGCGCCCCTTCCTTGGTGCAGTCTTCGGTCTATGTCCAAACTCCCGTGCAAGGTCGGATATCTCCTGGAGCAGCCGGTCTTTTTCTGCATACTGCTCCTCCGTCCCAGACCTAATGAAATGGATGATTTAAAATATTGATTTCTTCTGTGTTACTCAGCATTGTCACTCTCACTGTACCGGGTTGAATCACTAAAGAATAATCCGCACAAAAAAAAAAAAATGAAACTCTCAGCTAAGTAAAGCTGATTCCGTCAGCTATTCACCCCGACAATAATGGAACTTAGGAGTGATTGGGTTTCATTTGGGTGTAATAAAATTTTTGAAAATATCTATCAAATGTGTATTCAGTAAGCCCACATTTGTTGAAGGAATGCAATGCATAAGAAATCTTAAGTTTAACATCAAGATTTCTTATGCATTGAATTGAATGATGCTTGTGCCTTCCACGGAGGAACATGCCCCATGTTCAAAATCTCTCAAGAAAGCATAATTGTACGATTTGTGTACCCTCCTACTCCCCTTTTCTTTTTAGATAGCTTACACTTCTTGATTCCAATTCATATTTTAGTTGCACCTGGTGCATTTGATCATTAAAATTCAACCAAAGTTAAGATGCAGGCTATGTCGCTCACAGGGTATTAGGAAAGCTGACACCCTTGTCATAGTACTGAACAAATATAAACGGTTGCCCGTGCTTGCCTGCATGTAGGGAAGTGGGTGATATGATGAAAACATTTGCTACAAGTTAGGCAGCTCTCTCATTCGATCTTTTTATGTGCTCTTCCTTACAGCTGGGTTACCCAAAACCATGCCGCACTTTTCCAGCCGGGCTTGGTGGTCTATGCTCTGAAATATTTGCGAGGAAGGCTTTTCTTACGCGCGAACGGCCCGCGCGAACGGCACGCGCGTACACGTGTAATCCAG